AAATACCTGAAATATTTAATAGCTCCCATGTTCGTGCACTGAAATATCTGCAGTTGTGATTTCAGCGCAGGTGGCCTAGAGGCACACTTTTTTAATTAGTGGTGGAGCCAGCAGTGCTGGCTGCTCTGGAGATTGCCAGATTCCCCTCTATAAGACCCATCATTCAATTCCAAAACCAACTGTTTGGGCTGAAATATCCCATGCCAGGTGCCTGCCTTCTTTGACAAGCACCCTTGGGCTAGCAGCGTTCCCAAAAAGGAAGCCAGGGAAAAGAAATGTTTACTACTGCATACGCAATTCATCTGTCTTTCAATTTGGCAGGTGCCTGTTTTGCAGCAGGGCTGAGGACTGCAGCCAGGCTGCTCTGTGGAGCAGTGGAGGAAGGGATGAAGAGCTGAGGAGAGCACTGGAAAGTAGAGCTGGCTGCTGTTTGCTAACCCAGGTACCTCCCCAGTTTACCTCAACCTAGAGCGGGCCAGGTGCCGGCTTCACTTCACTTAACCTTAAAAGAAGACCCCAGGCTGTGTGTTTGCGCCCGCTTTGCAGAGGTAGGAACCATTGTGTCAGCCCTCGGGTGTGAGAAGAAGAAAGCTGGGGAACCATCCCAGGGCTCTGCCCACGCTCAGGGTGTCAGTGAGGGACCATGGGCCATGCCGCAAGGTGCTGGTCATGCTGCAGGACCAGCCAGCGGAGCCACCAAGTACAGCCCTGCAGCATCACAGGACTGTTGCAAGCGAGGGCAACGGCAGCAAGAGCAAGGACATCTTCCTCTTCCTCCCAGGTGGAGGTGCAGGGAAGCCTGTCCTCGCTGAGGTGCAACCTCCAGCTGCTGTGCTGGAAACTGAGCTGGAGAGGGGGGACCGTGCCCAAAATAGCAGGGGGAGCTCAGGCCAGGGTTGAATGAACAGACATGGCACAGGGAGCATTTTGTCAGCACTGAAGTGTCTCATCAGTGGTAAATGACTGGGAAATGCTCCCGCTGTTTGAGTCTTGTTCATTAATTAAATGCCTAGGCTTGAGAGATGAGGCAAGTGTTACAGTGCGGACAAAGCACTCGGCAGCCTACCTGAGAGCTGGGTGGAGAGGAGAGGAGATGGCGCATGCAACTAAATGCAGGAACAGGAGCAGGGTGGCCTTATCCAGCATCTTCCACCCTTTGGAGTCACCTGAAATGCAGAGCAACTGAGTCAGTGGCGGTCATACGGTCAGGGCCGGCCACCCTGCGCACAGAGCCGGGAGGGGAGGCCAAATGCCACCTTCACTCTTGCTTCTCATTAGCACGAATGGACTAGAAACATGCCTCTGTGTCTGTGATTGTGGTGCTTCATGTGTGCTTCCCAGTGCAGCAGCGTCTGAACGTGGCAGGGACTTCCCCAGGCAGTGCACTTTCTGGAGGCAGTGGCTGTGTGTGCCTCTGCTTCTCTGCAGCTGACCGCAGGGAGCAGGGGGTCTCCCTTGGGTCAGCGCTGAGGTCTGGGGGTTGGCAGGGCTTCACCCTGTGGGGTGACCTGCCCCTCTGATGCTCTTCAAGGAGAGCTCTCAGGCTGGGGCGAGCCCCAGGACCAGCCGCAAGGGCTGTTCAATAGCAGTATAACAGCGCCTGGATGCTGCAAGAGAGCAGGTAGCAGGGGCTGCTGCAGGCACCCTCCCCCCAGCCCAGCCCAGCCTGCAGTGGGACCATCAGTGTCTCCCATCTGCACCTGGTCCTTGGGACCTCTCCTGCCCTCAGCTCTCCTACGGATGTCCATCCACATGGCTATGGCGCAGGTAAGCATGTAACAACTGATCGGGCTGCCTTGCCTGACATCCAGAAACCATGGACTGATGATTCAGATGGAGAACATCAACAGTGAGCTCTGATTTAGTGCTCAGACATATCTGGTCACCTTCCTGAATGTGGATCAGAAAAGTGGGGGGAGGTCTGATTCAGGACTGGTGTGGAGCTCATGCAAGTGGGGCTGATCTGATATCGTGGGAGTTAATAGAATTACCAGCAGTGTCATGAGTGCATGGGCAGTGGGCAAGATGGTGTATTCAGAAACAGGGTTTCTTTTCACAAGCTCTTTCTCAGCCCGGTTCCTTGTTTCCAGCTGCTCGCGCTCCCAGCCCACAGGCCGGGGGAGCCAGCAGCAACTTCACCATCTGTTCCCTTACAGAAAAGCAGTCAGTCCTAACTGAGAAGAGAGCTGACTTCGTGCACAGGCAAGAATGGCATCCACTCCCTCCAAAACCTCAAAATCACTTTTGCCACGCAGAAAGCTGTGGAATACCCTTTAAAAATAAAAGACTGACTTTAGGAGAGGCTTACAGGGCTCCAGGGTTTAGGACAAATCTTTTTTTGTCATTTTCTGTTGAACTCAGAAAAAGCATGTGTCTTTTGTGCCTCCCTCCCCAAAATATCTCCAGACAAGTCCCAGATCAGATCTTGTTCTAGATGGAGCATATGATCTAAAGACCCTGTGAGAGGGTAGCAGGAGACTGGCACCGGCTTCCATGGAAAGTGCCAAGCAGCAGATTTATTCAGCACTAGGAAAGCTGAGAAGTGAAACATCAATGTAAATGAGAAGAAAACCTAGCCCAATGTTGCCCACTTCCCTTATCCTATCCCCCCTATATCCTATTTTTCCTAGGATACAGCCCTGATCACCGCTTTCTTTCTGTGTCTGGTCAAGTTCTAGGTTTTCCTCCTGATTCCGTTTCCATCCCTTTGAGAATGTTTGTTTGTTTTTCTCTCCTATTAGTTTCTTTTT